AATAATGTATTGATCGGGTACAGCAAATTATCTCTATAATTATGAAGCTTAACAGAAATTCAATTCTTGGTTTTCAGTCATGAGAAAAGTGACTAGATTGTAATATAGAAAATCAGTGGACTTGGCAGTTTTCAGTTCTGCTAATGAAGTTTGAAAAGATTTTGAATTAATTGAAGAAAGGTGATTTTTATGAAATAAAAAGAATGTTTCAGACCTGAGAGATTGGTACCAATTTTGGTATAAATTCATTGTGAATATGAGGATTCGATAACCTTATATTAATATCACAGTCAGTGTTCATAAATTCTGAACTAAGTTCAGGTTACATTTTCACAAGTTTTTTTATCACCCTTTATCATCACTGAGACCATAGTTACATTTGGGATTATTTGAAGGATATGAAATGAACAAACTTCTTGAGATTCGTTTTTTCTACAAGAAATAAAAAGACATGTATTTTGGAAAGAAATGTAATTAGTATCAATATATATATTCCTCAATAGCTAATTTATTTAATACATTTGGTGTTAAACTCTTGATATTGACTCTCTAGTCTGTTTGTAGCTCCTCCAGATTCCCCCATATTCGATCTCAGATCGGAAGACCAAAGTAAGGATGTACTAATATAATGGCTACTCTTAAGGTTAGTTTAGTTACAGGAAACAAGAATACTAAATAATTTTTATCTGACGTTGTTATCCTTAGTACTGAAAAAAAAACATAATTTGAAGAGTAACAAGATCGGTAATTATTCAACCAAAATATAACACAACTACTGTTTCCATGAACTATTTAAGAAGTTTTTGTATGATAACAATCGGGCAAAATATTTCCAAACATTTCCCAGATTCCAACAACTTCGAAAGAATACGCTGAGTTTACATACATCAAGATTACTAAAGAGACCACAATATACCTGCCTCTTAGTCTGGAAGTTAAATAAACTACTGGAAATATGTAGAATGAATTTATAAAATGTTCTATCATCCAAACCCCTCCTGGAGCCCTTCTAAGGTTCACTCGGTCCCCAGTCCAGATAAGGGGGTGGGGTCACGTATGAGGTTAGCGATCCTATCCAACTAGCTAAAAAATGCTCACTAGCAAAACAATTCGTTGTTCAGTGGTCTATGCTCCATTAGAGATAACCTAAGTAAGTAAGTCTATCATCCAGTATATATAGAACCAAAATAATACTTGAATGGCTTATCAGTTATACTGTATCAATATAACCTAAAACGTATAACTGATAAGCCATTCAAGTATTATTTTGGTTCTATATATACTGGATGATAGACTTACTTACTTAGGTTATCTCTAATGGAGCATAGACCACTGAACAACGAATTGTTTTGCTAGTGAGCATTTTTTAGCTAGTTGGATAGGATCGCTAACCTCATACGTGACCCCACCCCCTTATCTGGACTGGGGACCGAGTGAACCTTAGAAGGGCTCCAGGAGGGGTTTGGATGATAGAACATTTTATAAATTCATTCTACATATTTCCAGTAGTTTATTTAACTTCCAGACTAAGAGGCAGGTATATTGTGGTCTCTTTAGTAATCTTGATGTATGTAAACTCAGCGTATTCTTTCGAAGTTGTTGGAATCTGGGAAATGTTTGGAAATATTTTGCCCGATTGTTATCATACAAAAACTTCTTAAATAGTTCATGGAAACAGTAGTTGTGTTATATTTTGGTTGAATAATTACCGATCTTGTTACTCTTCAAATTATGTTTTTTTTTCAGTACTAAGGATAACAACGTCAGATAAAAATTATTTAGTATTCTTGTTTCCTGTAACTAAACTAACCTTAAGAGTAGCCATTATATTAGTACATCCTTACTTTGGTCTTCCGATCTGAGATCGAATATGGGGGAATCTGGAGGAGCTACAAACAGACTAGAGAGTCAATATCAAGAGTTTAACACCAAATGTATTAAATAAATTAGCTATTGAGGAATATATATATTGATACTAATTACATTTCTTTCCAAAATACATGTCTTTTTATTCTTGTAGAAAAAACGAATCTCAAGAAGTTTGTTCATTTCATATCCTTCAAATAATCCCAAATGTAACTATGGTCTCAGTGATGATAAAGGGTGATAAAAAAACTTGTGAAAATGTAACCTGAACTTAGTTCAGAATTTATGAACACTGACTGTGATATTAATATAAGGTTATCGAATCCTCATATTCACAATGAATTTATACAAAATTGGTACCAATCTCTCAGGTCTGAAACATTCTTTTTATTTCATAAAAATCACCTTTCTTCATTAATTCAAAATCTTTCAACTTCATTAGCAGAACTGAAAACTGCCAAGTCCACTGATTTCTATATTACAATCTAGTCACTTTTCTCATGACTGAAAACCAAGAAATTGAATTTCTGTTAAGCTTCATAATTATAGAGATAATTTGCTGTACCCGATCAATACATTATTAATCTTGTAAATCACTATATTTCAATAATGAACTATTGAATTTAATCAAGATTATTCGAACAGACCGAAAACTAGGTATTGCATAATACACAGTAGATACATTTTTACCTCTTTACGAACCTGAAAGTTTATCCAGCATTCCAGTCTAGCTTCCTTACTAAGACCATATTTTGCCAACAAATAGAGAAGTTAAGAAGTTACGAACATTCGATAATGGTAGTAACGAGATCATTTTGTTTTTCACAATATATTCTAGTTATTTTTCGTCAATGAACAAGTCATTTCTTTGCCAGATAATATGAATTAACACTAAAAGATACAACAGTAACGGAATAATGTTACCAAGAAACTTAGTTAATATCAAATATCATTTGTATAGATATTATTAGATTGTCACATTTTAAAGATGATTCCTAGGCAAATGTATATACGGATGCGAAACATGGCCGTTAAGAGTAGAGGACTTTCGTAGGTTACTAGTCTTCGATCATAGGTGTTTAAGAAGCATTGCTGGTGTATCCTGGGATGACCGAGTAAGCAACGCTATCGTTAGGAAACGAGTTCTAGGTATGGATGAAGCATTGAAACTTCACCAATTAAGGTGGTTGGGACGTGCATTACGTATGCCTAACCACTGACTGCCTCAACGAGCTATGTTTTGTGGTGTAGGAGTAGGTTGGAAGAAAGTTAGGAGCGGCCAGACCAAAACATGGCACAAATCCATGAAGTCACTGACAAGTGGACTGAGTCATGTTGGTAGATGTAGGCTACCTGGTTGGGGTCCGCGAGACGATAGTCATCAATGGTTAGAGAGCTTGAACGACATGGCTCAGAATCGTTTGCAATGGCGCAGGTGCATCCACTCTTTGTGTACTTTTTAATTCTAACCTTCTGAATTCCTCATCATCTCTATCTTTCTCTCTCTAAATTTATCTCACTGAATTAGACTTTTCGAATCATATCTTTGCTCCCTATCTTCTCCATTGCTGCTAATAATTCAACTATCGCTATCACCCTTGGATTTCTAACTGACAGTTACGTATCTGTACTGAGGTGATATGGCAACCTGAACCGATGTACTTATGTACGAAGTTCTGCGTTGTATCTGTCTGACGTGTACATAGAAAGACATCATTTCATTATCTATGCATTATTTGGTCAACAAACTAGTTTCCATTTTAAATATGAATAATAATATCAAACAGAAATAGTCTAATGATAACCTTTACTTGATTTCTTAATATGATTATTCTCACTGAATGGCGATCCAATTAATTGAGTGCTAATTAATCTAAGCAACAAAAAGAATGAATATAAATCATCTATTGTATGTTGTCTGAGATTAATTAATATTTTTTTTAATTAAACAAACATATTGAACTAAACTAAGTGCTCTGTAATATTTAAAAAAAATTTGGTTTGCATCACTGATTGACTTTATTTAAACAACCATTGAATAGAAGTTCAATATTCATACAAGACCTCTTTGGAATGACTATAAATGAGAAGAGTTCCACATGCCTCCCGATTTCATGAAGAATTCGCTTTATTTGAACCATTCATTTGAACTGCAGTAATTAACATTTCTAATTGACTTCAGTCAACTAGCTCTATTGGGTAACTCTTGTCTGTTGTCAGTATGCCAGTCTCAGCATTAACATAGATGATAAATATGTCTGGTCGCAAAACTACTGGAAAATTAGCGACATTACATGATGAATCGATGAATTGAACATAGGTGGAAATTTGCACTGAGTTATTCATAACAAATAGATTCTGCATCATATATATGAATGATTTGAACCATTACGGCTTTAAAGTAACAAATAAATTAGGTAATAGTAATAATCCAATTTTCGTTACAAACACGAAGATCAAATAGAATCTGTTATAAGCTGAATATAATAATCTCTGAGTAGCTCTAATAAAGTTTCCAGGATGATATGCCGTAATTAATTCAAATATTTCAAACGAGAACAAATTTTCTACTTTACAAAGCTAAATCTACACTTAGGTTTAATGGTTTTACTAAAGTGAACAATAAAGTACAAACAATTGATGTCATTTGCATAATTATTGAAAATGAATTGCTTATATATTTAATGCAGGTTTCTATAAGGCTTGAATCTTAATAAATTGGAGTATCGTACAATAAATATTGTGAACTTGTTTCTAAGTGGACAAGTTTTAGCGAAATTATTATGATGGAATATCACTTTAGTTTCGTTCTCTTAGCTGGATGTTTTGGTTGTGGAGCTTTCATGGTTCTTCTAAACAACATCATTAGTACAAACTTCAGGTAGAAGTGAAATATTCGAATTTCTCAACGTGTCACTCGCAGCTTGTGCTTTTGACCCCCATCTTAATTGGTTATTATTATTTTTAGCACCTTGGTCATCTAAGCCAATGCTAAACAAATGTGCAACAACGAAAAAACACACTCTTATCTGTAGATTATCAAAAAGATCTAATTATCAAAATGCACTTAAGTAGTAAGAATTTTGTTAATCCGAAGAAAAAAAAATATAAATATAGGCTTTGTTTACTTGTTGTTATTTAGTAGTTTGCAAATTGTCGAAATAAATTAACAGAGCATTTACACCGTATAAATCCATATCATATCGCTTACATAACTCCTTGTAATCACCAGATAATTGACCAATAATATGTGCGAAATCCTATAAATTTGTAATATTTTAATGATGCGTAGATTATACATTCAAATAACTGAATTAAAATGTTCTCTACTCAAAAATAACGAAAAGATAACTGGACAATTAGTATTAGATCCAGTAACAGACTACTGAATTCCAAGTTGAAAACAAAAAAAAAACAGTACCATTCCTTTCAGTTATATAATGCAAAACTAATCATGGGAAAAAGATATATAAAAAATATTTATGATTTCAAAAAACTTACGATTATATAACTAAAGATCTGATCTATCACTTTCTCATCCGGTATGTTGTCAAATAAAGTAATGGGTTATGTCGAAGAGCTTAAAGATCGATACAACATATATTGACTGGTATTATTTTCCTTTTTGATGTGTTGAAATAAGAAGCTGTTAGCTGGATCAATCAAATTCTAATTTTTTTAACATAGATTTATGAACATTTTCAATACCAATGTGAACTACTCGATAGCAAATAAATCAAAGTAATTTTTCCCTAATAGGTATCACGTTGTTAAAAAGTATAACTGTGTACGATATACCATAGAATCCACTTTATAAAATACTCAAAGATCACGATATAAGAAAGTAATGTACTACTCTGATACACTTTTCAATGACAGACACGACCAAAATCAACATAATCAAATGCCGCCTTAAGGTACAGAAATACAAATATTGTCGGACGCCGAAATGTGTCCATGTTCTAGGACCTTACGAAGTGTGGATATGTGGTCTATACATACATGTATGGGTCTGAATGCGGCCTAGTTTACTCGAGTCTGCTTTTCAAGTTCCATAGCTAGGCGTCCAAGCACTATTGAAGCTAATATTTTAGACACTATATTAGACAAACTGATTCCTCTCTGACTGTCACAAGAGGACTTTTGTCCTTTGTTATAGACTGGAGTAATCAGTGATTGATACCAGTCGGATGAATTTATGACTAGTTCTTAAATTCGACCTAGGATCTCAGTCAATCTAATTGTTAAAACTGGACCATCAACCTGAATGGAAAATTGATGTAAATCCTCCACCTCTTAATGAGGTAGAAAAGGCAATAGCAAATCTAAGGCAAGCGAGAGCAGCGGTCCCTAATGGATTAACCTCCGAGATTTTTTAGGATGGCGGTTTTCGGTAACTTGCATTACTCATGGCGTATATGTGATATCTGTCTACTAACCAAAGATGAGTCTACTGCTCAGCAGTTCACTTCATGCAACTTTATGACTTTGAAACATGGTCACTAAGAGTAGATGATATTCTTAGGTTACTAATTTTCAATTATAGATGTCTTCGAAGTAATGATCAGGTATCCTGGGATTACCGAGTAAGCAATGCTGCCGTTAGGAAACGAGTATTAGGTAGGGATGGCAAACCAATAGATGAAGTATAGAAACTTCATCAGTTGAGTTTATTAGGACAAAGGTTCTGAATGTTAGTAAGCGTAGACTACTAGGTTAGAATCCACGAGACAAAAGTAACCGATGGTTAGAGACCTTGAACGGACATTGCTCTAAATCGTTTGCAATGGCGCACGTGCATCCATTCTTTGTTTTTTCTCCAATTCTAATCCTCTGAATTCCTCATCACCTCTACCTTTCTCTTTTTAAATTTATTTCACCGAATCATACTTCTTGAAAAGTTTCTCGAAACTCTAACCTCTCCATTATCGCTAATAATTCCACTACCTCGACTACTATGGGGTCCGAATTAACAATTTGATCTCTGTGGTATTGAGGTACGTCAACTTGAGAACTGATGTAAGCAGATACAAAGTTCTACATTCTGCATTGTAGATCACTGACTAACTTCAAATGACTAAACGCTTACTTGGTTTTACATTTATATATTCATTTATAATTATATAATACAAGATATCATTATCATTTGAATATGATATCATATATGTAAAAATAGATAATAAGTGCGCAAACAGATCAAGGAGAAACTATAAAAAAAAGAAGAAAATACAATGATCTCACATTATTCTGCTTCAATTGTTATTACAGCTTTATTTTAATTCATAAATGACGTTGGAAAATGTAATATATTTGCTGATGAATAAAAAAGAAATAAGGTGCTTATTAAATTGATTCATGAAAGGCATTGGAAAATCTTTCAGCACTTTTATCATCTTCATTTTCTCTTATTAAACATTCTTAAATATATTATACTATTGCATAGTGTATATATAATTCGGTTTTTTGTTGAAAGAAAACAAACTAAGCGCTGTTTCTAGATGAGCAGTCAAATTGATCAAATATTCTGATTCAGACAAAAGATTATTATTTCTGAAATCAACGTTGAATTGAATCAATTTTTTTTTCGTAGTCAATCAAAACAAAAGAAAACATATAGCAGACATTTTATTTATTGATTGATTCAGTTTCACATCAACATGAAGAACTGCAAAGATAGATAGATAGATACACGATCAAATAAGTTACAGTAGTAGTAAAATAAAAAACATCTTCAAACCAATTTACCTAAAAAAAATTGTTTAGCATGAAATTCATGTCTGCAATGCAAAAAAAAAGAAAATCCTTTCTAATGATATATGAATTCAAATGAAAATCAACTCAAAAGTAATGAACTTGTTCTTTTTGTTGATATTATATAAGAGGCATTAAACAACACAACAATCACAACAACAACAGCAACAACAACTGCATCAAGATTGACAATGAAAATCAATCAAGAGCAAGAGAATGGTAAACAAACGATTGATTGATTATTAATATTATTAAATGATGACTATAAAACAAGGGTAGATGAGATACAACGAATTCAAAACAAAAATAATCATAATAGCAATAATAAAATAGTTTTTCCATGAAATAATACCAATATATATTAGTAGTTTTTTTTTTAATGAATAATGATAATAATCAATGAAAATAAGCACATAAATGTATATATAGAACAATAAAAGTAGAGAAAAAAGAAAAAACAAAAACAAAAGTGTAAACACTAACAGTGTAAATGAATGAATGAATTTTGAAATAAGAAAGAAAAAAATTACTTCAACATATCAGTCTGTAATGAGTGTAGTGATAAATATATGCCTGATGTAAAATATGCATCATAATTGTTCAATTCATGACAAATAGATAAAGAGATAGGATAGAATAGAATACAAAAAAGAAAGGCGATAAATAAAATTTTGTTAAATATGAAAAAAAATGTGATTATTAGCACATTAGCACAGTATTGATCATCATCATCAATCATCATCGTACAAGAATAATTATTTCTTTAAATGGTCGATTCGACTAGAATCTGTGGTAGGATAGGCTTTTTTCGGAGAAAGTGTTACTTTATTACTACCCGGTGAAACGGAACCACTAGTTCGACTGGCTAACACAGAATTTAATAGCAAACGTAATTCTTGTGTTAAAGTTTCAAAACGATAAGCAACACGAATATTGGGTAAATTACTTCGAGTGATATCATTACCCATAACACCTTCTTGTGTATAATTAGGTCCAAGCCAATGAGATTTGATCTGTAGGAGAATAAGAAATTAGGAAATAAAATAATTAAACTGTTAACCAATCAGTTATTTATTTATAAACAAAGCAGAAAATCGCACAAATCTGTGTCGGTGTAAATTCCCATACTATATTGGCTCTTCTTACGCTTGTTACCCGTCGTTGAGCCAAGATCATCAACCAGTAATCTATAACCTACTCTGTTCTACACTTTCCTTTACAGCGTTACTATTCATTCTTTCGATGCTTGCCAGAGATTTCCAGCTCAATGTGTTCGTTAATGTGCCTCTTTTCCATTTGCCCCGAAGATACCACGTTGCAACTTGATTCCTGACGCTCTTTGAAGATTTTCACAATGTATGTCCTATCAACCTCCAGTGTCTTTTCCTAATTTCTTCCTCATCTGAAACCTGGTTTGTTATCTGCTACAGTATATTTTTGGTGACGCTGTCTAGCCAGTAGTCCTGAAGTATCTTGTGTAGACAACTGTTTATAAATACGTGTACATTTGTGATGATAGATATTTTTTATTTAAATACTATTTTGGAAACATAATTGTAGGTACAAATGGGTACTGCTCATGTGCGTAAACTGAAGAATGTGGTTTTATTGTGTACAATCTCCGAGCCTTTGACCTACAGGTCTAGTCCATAAAATAGTGGAGCAACGTAAGAAGACCAAGTCCAATAAAAGTTGGCGAACAACAACAAACGCATACGCCGTTCGTTTGCTCAAAATCCTGGAGCTTAGGTGATGCACCGGAAATTGGATTCGGGGTTAGCCAACTACTCTAGGCAGAACCTCCGTACCCATCAAGTCATTTTAAGCCATAGTCATCTATGAACAGC